CACACACACACACACCACACACACACACTTCAAGATATACTCATTTGTGGAAAAGACACACATGGGAAATTGACCAAAACCCTACAGACCTATTAAGGTATGTCTATATCCAGGAGAATACTTAAGACACTAGGTCATTCTCTTGGCACAGGAGAGAGTACGTGTGGACGGACACCAGTCTGTGTGGCACAGCACAGGGTACAGGATCAATGAAGCTTACATTTCACGTGCAGCTTGAAGTTTGGGAAAATAACATTATCTAGTACCTTCTTAGAGAACTGTTATGAATAGGTGGGACATAGATTCTTTTTCTTTTTGGTCAACAAACACCTCAGGTTTTCTGGCACCTACAGTGCCCTGACCACATTTTGAAAACACTGGTTGGTGGATCATGACGATCATGACCATAAAGTAGCCCCTGTTATTATTAATGATTAGAGAAAGGGCAGCCATTTGTTGACATTTTTGGTGTGCTAGGTTCTCTGGAAATGTCTTCGTTCATCATTCCAGCTCCATGACACTAATGAGGCTGTCACTTATTCTGTGCTTTATAGTTAGTGTGCTGCAAAAGCAGAGCTGGCACAGGTGGGCCTACTTCCATCCCAGTACTCTTGTCTACCAGGTTTATCTCCAGAAGGGGCTGGGGCCAACTTGACCTGTGCTAGCTCCCCCCACTGCCTTTTAATGTTTTTCTTTATTATTTTTCATTTTTAAAAGTCTTATTTTACATACCAATCCCAGTTCCCTCTCCCTGCAGCCCTGCTCCTCCCCACCTTCTTCCCACTCCACCCCCCATGAAACCTCCCATGGGGAATCAACAAAGTCTGTCATATCACTTGAGGCAGGAGCAAGTCTCCCCATCCCCCATGTATCTAGGCTGACCAGTCCTAGAGAGGGAAGAGTGATAACATGAGCAAAGGGGTCAAGACCATGATGAGGAAACCCACAGAATCAGCTGACCTGAGACAGTGGGAGCTCACTAACTCCAGACTGACAGCTGGAGAACCTGCATAAGACCAAACCAGGCCCTCCAAATGTGGGTGACAGTTGGGTGACTTGGACAGTTTGTGGGGCCACTAGCAGGGGAACCAGTATTTATCCCTAGTGAATGAACTGGCTTTTTGGAGCCCATTCCCAATGGAGAGATAACTGTGCTTGCCCCTTTTTAAAACTTTGGAAAATTCATTTGTTCAAGGTCACATAAAAAACTCAAAGTAGCAGACCTGGCTTTTTTACATCTATTTGACCTTGAGGCCCAGATCATCAGTAAGTTCTTAAATGAAATTTGTCCCATGGGTATCCGAGGTTTCTTTCCAATACTGGTAATCGGTTTGCATTGTTGGCTCTTGACTTCTCTCTTGAATCATTTGTGTACAAGTGATAGTATTATAATAGCTCGAGGTTAAAAGTCAAGTTTTTGACCATGAAACTTGTACCTGTTAGATTCTTATAAAGACCAAGCCAATGATCTTGACCTCCTGTGTTGTGGTGGTTTAGTTAGAAAGCCAGGTACCTGTAGTTATTGAAATAGTGGTCTAATCCATTATTGCAGTAATGGGGTCATAGATGGTGCCAGATGCTTAAAGGTGGCCTCTACCTCCTGCATGCCTTCCCATGGGGTCTTTCATTTGTTGATAGAGTTCCTGCCTATTCTTACTTGTTCACATAATGACTTTGGGGGATGGTTATCAACCTGGTCCTGGCTTTCAGGCAAAGATAAGTGGTAGAATGTTAGTAGCTTATGGTGACTCTCTGGGGAAACTTCTAGATGGTAGAAAGAAGCTAGAGTATACAGAATGCTTATCCACTCTGTCTGCCTCATCCTGACATGTTTGTCTTCTATGCCAGGGTAGTACCCCTGAATCTGGCACTTACTGATGGGTTTACAGTAGGCCAAATCGTTGAATCACTGTTAATTTGAAATAAAATGAGTGTTAATTAGACAGTCATCATTGTTGGATCTGTGTTGCTCAGAATTTCTCAAGTGGTTAAAAATAAATATAGTTCAAATTACCCTGATGAATTGACAAATGGTAAAGAACAAATCACAAAGGGTCACTAGCAGAGAAGACAATGTGGGATGAACTTAAGCAATATATAGAACTAGTCTTCTATGTTGCAGGGGAAAAGGAACTAAAATTAAAAGTAGATACAAAAGCCAAAAATGTACTGCAAGAATATCAAACATCCCTCCCTCCCTCCTTCCCTCTCTCCCTCCTTCTTCCTTCCTTTCCTCCCTCCCTCCAAGTAGCAATGGATCCTCTTAAACCTGTGAAGTCTTTGTCAGAAAACCTTATCTCACTTTGATTTGGGGGGGGGGCAGGGGCAGGGTGTTACAGGGTTCAAGACAGTGTGTACTTGAACTCACTCTGTAG